AAAAAAAAAAAAAAAAAAAAAATCAGGGGCACCAAGGAACAGAGATTAGTCAAAAGATTTTCTACTTTCCCTTCATTGTTTAGTCCAAGCAATACTAGCACCAGTTGCCTTAAGTCAACTCTGACTCATGGTGACTCCCAGTGTCTGAGTAGACACCTGTGCTCCATTGGGCTTTCAATGCAGCTTGCAGTTGTTGTTGCTTTTAGGTACCGTTGAGTCTGTACCAACTCAGTGACCTTATGCACAACAGAAAAAAAAAACACGCTGCCAGTCCTGTGCCAGCCTCACAATCGCTGCTACACTATACCTCACCATTGCTGCTGCCACTGTGCCAATCCACTCCACATGCCTCCTGTATGACACTCGGCTATACTTGCTCCATGGACTAAGATGTCCACCACTCTGTCTTAATCATAATTAACCCTGTTACAATCACTCACAATGGAATCATATAATCCTATCAGCATTTTCCTCCACCTACAAGGTCGGTGATTCAAGCTCATCAGCTGCTTCTCGGAAACCCTAGACAGCATCACTATGGGTCAGAACCGACTCGACGGCACTTCACAACACAACAACTCTTATGCAGACCCATCAGGAAAAGAGAAAATATACCCAATCTGAATGATCCTACCCAGTCATTTTGTGGGAGTTGCAAAGATTATGGCTAGAAGAACCATGCAAAGTAATTCACTGCACCCTCACATACGTATGTATAGTATATTATTTATATTTCTGGGAAAGATGTAGACACCAACTTAGTGTGATGTATATAAGGAGAATTAACAGCAACCAATTTTCTGATACTATTTAAAAAAGAATACAAATGATCACATTGCAAGAGTTAGAGGAGCTCAAGGCCTACAATGTGGAATTGGATCATATTGTGACCATGTTTTTACCAGAAAAAATGTATTTATACAAGGGTAAGTCAAAAATCATATGCACTCTGAAACCCCCTTCCAAGAATAACACTCAATGGGAATACAAGCTCTGATTGGTGACCACACTTGTCATTGATAAGGGGAAGTGAGGGAAAAACAGCAATGAAGTGGTGAGCTAAGCCCTACAATGTAGAGAGTGAAGCGTTCAGCTGATAAAAAGAGAGGGCATATGCACAAGAACACCCACACTTGCAGATAATACCCACTTGACCTGACTTAAATGACTGGATGATCAGAGCTCAACCAGAAGAAGAAAGAAGAGGAAAAAAAGAATAATCTGATACAATTTGATGAACTTGACCTACACATATGGATGCAGTAGCTCCAAAGAGGGAACAAATCTTCACAGCAAGAATCATTCCCACCCCCTCCACAAACAGAGTAGACAGGGATGGGCAACTTGCACATTGGCTACCCAAAATGGGGAGGGGGGGAGGGGGGAGCTAAAAAGGCAAGAAGTGACTGGCTTACAAGCTTTCAAGAGGGAACCTAGAGCCAGGAGGCCTGGAGGAAGGCAGAATCTTCAGTGAGTAGTATCCAATCTGTCTAGGTGGAGCTGATGAAATGAAATGTAGATGGATCTCTTGTGATACAATAGTGAATAATTGTTATCAGGAATGATTGTGAGGGTTGGAAATGTAAAGGTAGATGTTTTATAGCAAGGAAGAGAGTGATTAACTTTCCAGTCTAGGAGCAGAGGTCCCTGGGACCATCAACGGAGAAGAGTTGAGAGTGGGACCCTACCCAGAGAAGCAGCGATGCCTGAGATAGAGGCAGAGATGATGACTGATGACGTGCAGCAATGGAGCAGCTGGGGACTTTAGATGAGGGGGCCGGAGTGTAGAGGGCAGGCTTGCAGGATATACCCTTTGGTTGGTTGATGATGCATGGAGGGGATTGTAACCATGACAATGAGGCAATGAAACTATATATGATAGAATGAATGTAAAACTAATGTTTTGCCATGTAAATTATCATATAATTCACAATAAAACATTTAAAAAAAAACCATATGCACTCTGGCTGTAGAATATATTTTAACCAGCTTTTAGAAAAGACAAATACATCATTTTTTGACATAATTCCTTTGTTTTTCAATACTCTTTGTCCATTTGTCAACAAGCTTTCATATTCCTTTATTAAAAAATATTTTCGGCTTAGTTGAGAGCCACGAATGAACCACTGTCTTCATCCTCAAAGGGCTGTGTCCATGGGGAACAAACAGGTGAAAGTTTGATGGAGCAAGATCAGGACTATAGGGAAGGTGCTTTAACACCCAAAAGTGAAATTTTTGCAGAGTGTCAACAGTGTAGGTAGATGTGTTGTAGACATGCATTGTTTCATGCTGATCACTAAGCCCTTGGGTAACAAATTCATTTAATTTCTGTTGAATTGGAATTATCCTAATTTCACTATCATGTTTGATGGACAGTTTTTCTGGGTATATGATTTCTTTTTGTCTTTCAGAGTTTCATGTATGTCATTTCTTGTCTTCTTCCCTGTATGGTTTATGCTGAGAAATCAGAGGTTAATATTATTAGTTCTCCTTTGTAGGTAATTTTTTTGTTTTTCCTAAGCTGCTTTTAGGATTCTTTCCTTGTCTTTAGTTCAGAAAAATTTGGTATGTCTTAGCGATTTTCTTTTGAGGTCTATCCTATTTGGAGTTTATTCAGTTTCTTGAATGGCTATCTTCTTGTCTTTCATGATGTTAGGGAAGTTGTCTTCCAATAATTCTTGGGCAAACTTCTCTGGAAATTTTGGTCTCTTCCTTTCTGGAATTCTGATAAAATGTAAGTTATTCCTCTTGATTGCTATTGTTGGTCAGTGCCATTGAGTTGGTTCTGACCCATAGCAACCCTGTGTAGGGTTTATGAGGAGTGGCTGGTGAGCTTGATCTGTCAACCTTGTGGTTCAAACCAACTTTGCAGACTTGCACATTAACCCATAGTGCTGCACTCTGGATAGAGTCCCACATAAATCTTAGGTTTTCTTTGGATTTTTTTCATTCTTTATTCTAATATTTCCTCTTGTTGTTGTTATCAAGTTCCATCAAGTTGTTTAAGACTCATAGTGACACTGTTTAGGGTTTCCAAGGAATGAATGGTGAATTTGAAGCACCAATCTGTGTTTACCAGTCCAGTGTTGATCCCACAATGTAACACCAAGACTCCATTACTAGATGACTTCCTCTAGTAGATGAATATTGACAGATTTATCTTCAAGCTTAGTAATTTGATTTTCCATTGATTCAATTCTAATACTTTGCCCTTTCAATATGCTATTTCTGAAGACTTAGTATCAATCTTCTGACTTTCTAATTATTATTTTTGTATTTTGTATGTTGTTCTTGTAGTATTTTCCTGAATTCTTCTAAAGTTTTTTTGTATGTTCTCCTTGTTTTCCTAGATTGTTCTCTCAATCTATTGAAGGTACGTAAATATCATTCTTATAAATTTCTGACACCATTTCTAATATATTTTCTGATTCTTTAATTTGACCATTTGTTTGAGGCACTCTGTCGTATATGTTCATGTAAGCTGAAATTGTCTGTTGTCTCTGAGACATTTTGGTGTCATTGCATTTATATTTACTTGATGATTGTATGCTAGTGTGTTCTCAGGCACTCACCACCTGTCTTCTGGTGAATGTGATAGAAACTGAAAGTGTGAATGAAGTTCTCTTTTTGTGCATTGTAGCTCAGGGCAGGTTGATTTGCAGAGATGGCAATCTTGGAGTCTGACCCTAGGCAGAGCTGAAAATTGAGGTTGTCAAAGACTTCATTTTGCTAGGATCAACCATCAACATTCATGGAAGCAGCAGTCAATAAATCAAACAACATCATCAGGCAAATCTGCTTCCCAAGACCTCTTTAAAGTGTTCAAGAGCAAAGATGTCAATTTAAGGAAGAAGGTGCACCTGACTAAAGTCGTGGTATTTTCAATAACCTCATATGCATGTGAAAGTTGGACAGTGAATAAGGTAGACTGTAGAAGAATTGTTAGAGTTTCAGAGTCTCTTCTGAAATCCATTTTGGTCTTTTCCACCTTTCTTGTCTTCTTAATGACCTTTTGCTTTCTTCCTATATGATGTTCTCTATGTCATCCCACTATTCTTCTGGAGAAACAGCTGTAAACATCCATTAATAATTGTAACATGGAGTGTACAAAGTAGGAATCTCAATACTACTAAGATAGATGAGCAAGCAGAAAAAAAGGATTAAAAAAATTTGAAGAAGGTCTAAGATTCATGTTGGACAACATGAAGAGGAATAGCTTAAGAATTATCGGCATTCCGGAACAGGAAGAATCACACAAGTCCACACAAGACATAGTTGAGGAGCTTCTAGAAAAAAATTTCTCTAACATCCTGAAAAGTGAAAAGATAAACATTCAAGAAGCTCAACGAACCCCAGGAAGGATAAACCCCAAAAGAAAATCACCGAGACATATCATAATCAAGTTCTCCAAAATCAGAGATAAGG